AACTTTATTGGTAAAAATAAGGATAATAAAATCCTGCTTTCCTAGTTTATTGGTTTCTGATAAGATTAAAATGAAATTATAAATATATAAAAATATATGTATTTTTATATATACAACTTTGAAAACAATAAAGTGTTATACAACTGTAAGATATCATTTTTATTACAAAGAATGAAGTCACTGGAAGCAGACTAGAGAAAATGATGCAACTGAATTCATTTGCTCTGTAGTCTTGCCAGATATAAAGGTATTTGAAGTATGGGAGATAGGCATTTGCACGAAATAAGGAGATCACCATTTACTAAACAAAGGAGCCAGGCTCCAAATAGACATGCTTGTACTTAAAATATTTATGTTGCCAGTATTTTATTTTGTAATAGCAGTGTCTCTCAAAACATTACCGCGGAATGACTGGGTGTGCTTCATGGCATCGCCAGCCTCTCTGAAGGGTAGAACCCAGTTCTGTCCCTCTTACAAACTGCCCAAGTGATTCTTAAGGACACCAAAATTTAAGATTGAGTATATATATGGAACAACCCCCAAGATAAATCGATGTAAGTTATAAGGATTTTACTTGATGAAGAGATTCATTTAACACAACTGCTTTGGTTTATAAGACATTTCCTCTTATTTATGAGGACAAGGTTAGATTTCCTGCTGCTCACGAGCTGCTGGGTGCCACAAAATAGTAGACATCATGAAATCATCTATGGGTGGTGTGTAATCTTATCTCTGAGAACCTGGGAACACAGGAATAAGCTCATCACCACTCCCATTGCTTCCATTGACTTCTTTCTCTTGTTGTCTGTTATAATAAAGTTTTGATTTCCTAAAAACAAAGCATCCCATGGGGTGCCTGGGTGGCTCATTCGTTAAGCGTCTGCCTTCGGCTCAGGTCATGATCCCAGGGTCCTGGGATCGAGCCCCGCATTGGGCTCCCTGCTCAGCGGGAAGCCTGCTTCTCCCTCTCCCACTTCCTCTGCTTGTGTTCCCTCTCTCGCTGTGTCTCTCTCTGTCAAATAAATAAATAAAATCTTTAAAAAAAAAAACACAAAAAACAAAGCATCCCATATAAGCTTTTTGGAAGCAATGCTCCTTTATTTCATTATATCTATGAAATTGTTGAGAGATGCACAGATGACAGCTTCTTTGGACGCTCTATGATAATTCATGTTAACTACTGGATTAACACTGGGTTTTCTTTTGGCATAAAGAATCTCGATTTGGGTTATGTTATCAATTATATATTCAACTTTTAAAATTCTGACCTTTGGATGTTTTCTCAGGAACAATTACTCTTGCAAAGTAAGGATGAGGCTCATTTTTTAGTTATCTCAATTCTTCCTCCACATTATGAGAAGGAGCTAATTACTTCACTTTGTTTTCACACAGAAATAGGACCCAAGTCTATTTAGTGCCTCTAAAAATATGCAAATTATGATCAGTCTAGCGGTACCCCCAAATCACAAAGAAGGGCAGTATCACTGCAGATGGGAAGAGCAGGTAGAGGTGAGGAAAAGCAACCTGTCTCTAGTAAGAATGGCAACTAATCAAGAAAGATTGTTCCTCATCAAGCACAGAGTTAATTTCTATCCATGTTTCTCATCTGATACTCACGTTAACCTTGTGAAATGGGTAGTATGTCTATCTTACAGATGAGGAAATGGAGGCACAGAACAGTAAAATTGCCTAAAATTATGCACCTGATGGATAATAGAGATTATGAGTGAAAACTCAGGTTTTTTAAAAATACATTTTTGATTCTAAGGTCTACAACATTTCTGTGATGCTAATGTCCTCAAAATCATGCCTGGATAACCTGTTTCAAAACCTGGATTTACTGACTAGACCATGGTCATGACACACGCAATGATACAAACAACAACCACTTGATGTTTGGCTTAAGGAGAAAAAAGTGCTCTGCATTTTTTCTCTGGGGTGGGCAACTTGAAAATGACAAGGACGTGATTACACAGTTGCACAGAGCCGCCGAAATGGCCCAGTTTGACAAGGAAGTGGACATTTCCTTCCAAAGTAGAAAATGGTGCTACAATTTCTTTGCTCACTCAACCAATGTTTATAAGACACTTACGAGGTTCCCAGCACTGGAAAAGTCACTAGGAATATAAATGTAAAGTAAATGCTATGGAATAAGGGTAAATAAATAATAATGACTCCCTGAAGGACAGTTCAGAAAAAGGAGGCTTTCAGAAAATAGAGAATATTGTTTTCTAGTTTGGAAACAGTCATGCCTCTGTCATTGGTACCCCTGCTATCTTCATGGAGACAACTGAACTGCTCTTCTTTGAATGTTCCACTTGGAAAGCAGAAGTGGGAGACTCCAATCACTGGAAGGCCTGCACTCTGGCCTCCCAAACCCTACATCCACCGACTGACAGCCTTTACGGGGAAGTGGGTGGAGAAGAGTTCCTTAAGCAGTTTATCTCTCAAGAGGAAGAAAAGGGTCTGAAATATCCTAAGCATTTCCCCCTTCAGCTACTAATGGAGAAAGAGAAGTCTTTTCTCAGGGGAAGCTGAATTTAAGGGACTGAAGGAAAAGGTCTAGACCATCTGGCACTCCATGAAACAGGAGGCAGGAGTCCTTCCAGAGCTCTTCCTCCGGGCGCTGTAATTCCAGCTAGACCTTCACAGCAGACTATGGGAAATGGGACAGAAAGTCTAGAAAGGCCAGGGATGGGAGAACTAGGCAAGGTGTTTCTCTGGCTTTCTCCTTCCCACCCAAATCCAGTCTTCACACTGCCCTCAGGCTCCTGGTTTGCTCCACTCTGCTCAGTGTCCTCCTTGGGTTCTACATCCTAGGAGGGGCGTGGCCTGCCCTGCGGGATCTCGCCCACCTGCCTCTCCCCTATCTCATCCTTCTAGTACCCATCTTCCCTCTCCCTTACCACCATACATACCGTGGTTTCAGCCACAGAGAACATCTTACCATTCCTAACCCTCTAGAACATTCCTCACGATCATAGTCTATGACCCAGAGGAAAAGCCTCCTGGTCATTTGATCCTTCTTGAAGCTCCTGAGCAGAAGAATTAGTTGCTTCCTCCTGGGTGTTCCCACAGCACTTCTACCACAACCAACCCACTTCCTGTGTTGCTTTATTATAAATGTTTTCATGGCCAGATTATTAAGTCTCATAAATAGAAGGACTATCATTTTCTCATCTCCATATTCCCAGCACTTAGCCCAGTTCCAGGGCACATAGTAAGTCCCAACAAATGTTTGTTCAATGAATAACTGACTGAATTAATAGGGGTATGCTACTCCCCATCCCCCTCTCCTGAATTGTACTTGGAGTAGTTTTTCTGATCCTCCTGCTTTGACACAAATCCCTACTGATAATACAGCACAATTAGCCTGTGAGGAAAAAGAAGCAATCTGAGGATGGTTTCCAAATGAAATATGGAACATCTCTAGACTCCATCTCTTGGTGAATCTATGAGAACAGCCTTCCAAGGATTTTCTTTGTTAGAGAGTCTAATAAAGCAACCAAGGTCCCAGGCTCTGTGTTATCCCCACCCTTCCCACTCTAAGGAGAAATAACTAATTTAGCACAAGATCTTCTCCATCTAGATCTTGTATAGCCTTCTCTTCCTCATTTTCATTTATTTACCTCTCAAATATTTATTGAGCAATTTCTGCCTACTAGGCACTGTTCTAGGATCAGGGGATATAGTAGTGAATGGAACAGACAATATTCCCCCCGGGGGCTTTTAATTCTAGCAGCAGAAAAGGATACTAAATAAGATAAATAAGTAAAATGTATAATATGCCTGGTAATGGTAAGTCTTAAGGAGAAAAAATAAAAATGGGAAAGGGGGACAGAAAGTTTTAGGGGAGTTAATATTTTAGAAACAAAGAGGGCCCTGATATTTGAGTAAAATTCTAAAGAAAGCCAAGAAGCAAGACATGAGGAAACCTGGGAGAAGAGCATTCTAGGCAGAGGGAACCACAGAGCAAAGGTACTGTGGTGGGAGTGTTGCTGGCATGTCTAAGAATCAGCCAAGAAGCCATTGTGACAAGATTAGAGTGAGCCAAGGAAAGCATATAAGGGATGAAGTCAGAAAGGTAAACGTGATCACTGGAGGAAAGGAGGCCATGGAACTGAGAATCCAGGTTTTGGAAGTGTCAAGTGTGTGGAAATTGAAATCAATGAGTCCTGTGGGAGTATCAGCAAATGCGACCATGACCCAGGAGCTAAAGTGTTTAAGAAATAAGGGGAGGGGGTGACCTAAAGGTAAGAAGATGACAGAAGATGAAGTTGGTTTTGTTGGCATTAGATTCAAATGTGGGGGACTCCAGGGAGGAGACAGGGAGAATAGTTTGGAAGTGTCACTGAGGAGACAGGAGGGCAGGTGCCCCTCTCCTGGGCCCAGGGGAGAGAGAAAGCAGGGAGAGGAGTCCTCAGGGTTTCAACAGAGAATGTGAACAAAAGGAGAGCCCAGAGAAGAGGCTGTCAGTGTAGTGGGTCTTGCCCACAACCGACTGGATTCCATGGGGCCTGGGGAGAAGATCTCAGAATTCAGAAAGGGTGGGCAGGAAAGGCAGCTCTCTCTTACTCCCTTTGGTCATTCTTTCTCTGTTTTCAGTTTTATCTTCATCTTTTCCAAACCATCTTTCCCTCTCCATCCTTCTTTCAACTTTCTTCATTTCTTTGGCTTCTTCTAAGTTTTCCTGTCCTATTTTTCATTAGTAGTAATCTTCTCTTCCCATTTCCTTTCTGAATTACCATTCTTTATGTCTCCAAGTCCTCCTTCTAGATTATCTTTTAAACTGTCCTTTGGATAGGGGCCATTTTTTTCTCAAGTTTCCTCTTTTCTCTTCCTGATTTTTAGTTCTTCTCTCTAGGAATGATCCATGTGGTTGTTTGCTTTAAGGATGCTTTGAAAGCCTCGGAAATTACTCCAGGGAATATGCTGTCAGTTCAAAATTTCCCCCCAGTAGTCTTACATCCTTGGCACATAAAAAATGTCCCTTTCCTCACCTGGACTTTGACAGGTTCCATCCAGTGCTCCAGAGTGTCAGCAGTGATGTTCTCAGGAAGAATTACAGGATCACTAGGGGGAATTACGCACGATGGGGAACACACTGCACCTGGAGGAACAGAAATTTATAGCAGAGACTTGAACTTCTTAGATCGCTGTCTTTTTCATTCTGGTATCAATAGCTTTGATTTTTTAAGAGCAATTACTTTCTACGTTATGGGTCACCACATTATCATGGTTATAGGCAGGGCTGATATTCATCTACTATGCACCTGTAGGGATACTTCTACACTAATTGCTAAAGAGCCACTGCCCCAAGTTAACTCCCCTTGACAAAATGCCCACTCTTCTTTCTGGTCCAGTATAGCCCCTTCTCTGGAATCTCTGAATCCCTGCATGATCCAGCCATTAAAAGTTTAACTCTTGGCCCTGTAGACCTCCAACATCCTACTCTAGGACTCTGGCCAGCCAAAGACTAAGCTGATGGGCTGATGCCTTTTAAGTACATTTAATATCATTCCTGCTTATATGATCTCTGGAAGGCTTTTAATTATAGCAGCCACTACCTAATAAATTTACTAGCTGGGGAAAAAAATGGCCCAGAAATTATGAAGGCAGATTTATAATGTCTGTTGCTCCAGTGAAGATCATTATGCTGTCAGCCAAAAAACCTATGTGATTAAAAGAGGAAGCAACAGGAAATTAGAAGCAGAGGCTCTGATCATGTGTTAGCCTCCTGAAGGAAAATCTTGCTCCGTTCCCTTGTATGTGGGGCCCAAGTGTCTTCTAAAACTCTATTCAAAGATGACACACTCCCAGGGTTCTCTGCTTCCTCATCTATAGATTTGTTCATCTCCAAGCTTCTTTTTAGCTCTCACTGTCTCTATGTCTACGTTTTCTGCAAACTTGTGAAATAACTCAAAATGCTAAATGACTCTTAAGAGCTCTATATATGTGAGTGCATGACATTTTAATACAGAAATTAGAGAGTGGGGAGATGAGACTTCACTGATGAAACACCATTCAAAAGGCCCAGTCTGAGCACCCCACTACTCCATGCCTGACCATGAGATATCTTGGGGCAAAGAGCAACCTAAAGATGGTAGAGAACCATCTCTGAAACTAATGAGCTTTCTCATTCACTCAAAGTATGCCCACTGGCATTATACAGTTACAGTGACATAAAATTACTCCTTGCTTGGGGCACCTGGGTGTCTCAGTTGGCTAAACATCCAACTCTTGATTTTGGCTCCGGTCATGATCTCGGGGTCATGAGATCAAGCCCCATGTTGGGCTCCGCGCTCGGTGCAGAGTCTGCTTGAGATTCTCTGCCTCTCCCTTTCCCTCTGCCCCTCCCTCTGCTCATGTGTGCCCTCTCTCTCTTTCTCTCTAAAATAAATAAATAAATAATAAATAAATAAATAAAATCGTAAAAAAAAAATATTACTCCTTGCTTATGCAGTTCAGAACTCAGGGTTAATCTTACAAGGTTTTCCACAAAAAAGCATCTCTTTTCTATGATGCTTAGGTCCAGACAGGGCAAAATTGAATCAACATCACTATAAATCAGCTCTGACCAAAGAGACCCTTAGTTGCCATTACTTGATTAAGAATTTGCCTATAGGTTCTGGAGCCTGGTCCTCTCATTCTGGAGAAAGAATGGCTAAAAAGCAACGCAAGCAAATGCCATCTCAAATCATCCCTTCAGAAACTCTCTGCTCCAGTAACAACTGCAGGAAGAATGGAGAAGGGGCGAGCACATGCATAGTGTATGGCTACACATTTCTACCTTTCCTCTTGAACTACAACTCAACTCCTGCTACAAATAAATCCACTTTCTGCCTGCAGCGCTTGGGTAACATGACCAGACCCTCCGCAAATAGCTCAGCAGCCACACCAATGTTACACGCATGTGGAAGGGTAAAAAGGAGCTTGCCATAAATTTTATTTTTACTGAACCAGCCAAAAGTCAACTTGCATTTCCATCTACTCCTCAGGGAGAACAATGGATCTGACTCAAACTCCAGCCAGGCTTAATAAAAGGATTACTTGGGAGCAGAATTCACCATCTCCTCCCAAACTTACCAATTCCGTATCCCTGTTCACACTTATACTCCACAAAATTCAGCTCCGAAGGGGGTGGTGGGCACTCCCCTTGCAGGTTCTCACACAACTTGAACTCCTCAGTCCACAGTCCCTCCTTAGTGCAGAGGATGGGACGCTAAAATATCAAAAGTAAACATTTCCATTCTTGTTTTGTTAACTTCATTTAGACCAGGGAAAAAAGTGGTCTGATGAAAATGGTAGTGTTCTCCAACTTTTAGAACCTGGACTAAAAGATACTATTGAAATAATAAACCATGTTGTTACTGACCAAAAAATAAAAATAAAAAATAAGAAAAGTCAAGACAATTTTTTGCTATTTGGATGTGAAGAAACCATGGACAATTTTGTCATTAATGAAATTTATTAACAATGTGTTTTCCTCTGTATATAAGGATTCAGTGAGCTGTTAACTGTAGCCCACATATTCGGAGATATTTTTGGAATTTTTTTCACAGATGGTGTTGTTTTGCATGGATTCATCCATACTATCACACAAACGCTGCTTGTAGCAAATGTCAGATTTTTTTTCAAGAGGAGTGTGATCCAGTGAAACCAATTCATAATTTTTCCAAAGGTATTTTTGCCTTTCTGCTTGAATGGACACATCGTAGTTTCTTTTGATCTCACCAAAGTTTTATTTCCTTTCTCCATATGTATGCTGGTTTGTGTGACTCTTGGCTCCACACCCCCAATAATCACAAAGTATACTATATGCAGATCACAGAGAAAATAGCACTAACTCACAAAACCCAAGAAAGCAAGATTTTAGAATTGTAGATAAAACTCTCCCTTCATCCAGGGCCAACTCCTTGAGGCTTTAAACAATCAGTGCAAACGGATGTGTCTGATTTCTCAGGAGTCTCATTTCATGGCATATTCTTTTCACATCTGTCCAGCAGTACTTACCTTGGAGTGCTGGACACTGAGACAGACATGTGCCAGGAGAGCAGTCAAGGTCATTGATCTCTGCCTAGGAAGTCTGCTTAACTTCCTGTCTCGTGTGTGTATGTGTGTGGTACTTGAAAAGAGTCAAAACTAAAACTGATTTTCATCACATAACCACGATAAGACTGTGGTTTTCATTTGAGACCTCTTGTGCCAAAATCCTAGGAAGAATGGTAGTCAGATAGTGCTTTCAGCTTTGCCTTTGCTGAGAAATTTGTGTTTCTGTTCAGAACTCTGTTCTATTGAAAAATATGATACCAGCTTTCAGAGCCAGGTTAGGTCAGTGGCCATACATGGGAGGAAATCACATTGCCAAAGCAAAAACCCAGCATTTTTTGGAATTTACCCAGGTACCCAAACCCAAAAGGTTTTTCCTTTTATCCAAGAGGAAGTTCTAAACTCAGGAGAAACTATTCCAAAAACGTGGTTATCTTCTGAATTTTCTATCGAATAATATCAACACTGCTGCTTAGAATCCCAGCTTAGTAAGGCCCTGCCTACTGGGATTCACTTAGATCATTTCCAGTCAACATTCTTGGATTGGTCATCAAGATTAGAGCAGAGCCTGATCCAAAACCAAGTCATCTTACCCTTCCACTTTCCTGGTTACAGTTGAGCATACACTGGCTGTTGAGCTCAAAGCCATTGGTACATTCATACATGCCTTCAAAGACAGGAGAAGGGGGCTCACACACCACTGGGATGCAGCTGCCTTGCTCCCAGATTCCACCCTCCAGGCACTGTATCTTCAGGAAGTTGCTGATGAGACATGAAACAAAATAGCCCATTAGACTCCCTCAAGGAGGTCATGGTAGAAGTCTGGGTTCTCAGTAATATGGGATAAGGATTAGCAAATAGGCAGGAGCAGTTGGTTCTTGTTAACTAAAGGTCCTACCTCACCAGTCTAATTTCTAAGTCATGGAAGTAAAAATAGTAGTGGACACTTAGCAGTGATAACAACAGCTATTGTATGGTATAGGCATACCTTGGAGATATTGCAGGTTCAGTTCCAGACCACTACAATGGGAGATCTCACAATAAAGCGAGTCAAATGAATTTTTTGGTCTCCAGTGCATATAAAACTTATGTTTAAACTATACTGTAGTTTATTAAGTGTGCAATAGCATTATGTCTGAAACAAACAATGAAAGCTTAATCCTGTCTAGATTTTGATTTAAAGCAAGAGACACGTGACTCTTTTACTCAAACACTTAGAGAACATTGTAGTATTATTAATTGGCCTAATTCCAGTTTTGTTGTTTCTTGGGGAATATAGAGGCCCAAGGAGAGGGAGAGGGATGGGGGAACAGCCAGTCAGTGAAGCAGTCAGACTACACACAACGTTTATCGATTAAGTTTGCTCTCATATGGATACGGTTCATGGTGCCCCAAAACAATTACAATAATAACATCAAAGATCACTGATCACAAATTACCATAACAAATACAATAATAATGAAGAAGTCTGAGATATTGCGAGAATTACCAAAACATGGCACAGAGACATGAGGTGAGTAAGTGCTGTTGGAAAAACAATACCCACAGACTTGCTCAGTGCAGGATTGCCACAGACCTTTGATTTGTAAAAAAAAAACAAAAAAAAACCCCCAAAAACCCAAAACCCCAAAAATGCAATATCTTCAAAGCACAATAAAGCAAAACACAATAAAACAAGGTATGCCTGTAATATTTGATATAAATCTCTCAAGAGAGCTTGATAAATATCAGTGCAAGGTCTAGATTGTTTACAGCTGGGTTTTATTTAAGCTTTTCATCTCGGAGAAGCCTCACACCTAAGTGCACTGGGAAATGCCAGGTGGGATGAAGGAAAGAAAAAAGTTATCACACACTCAGGGGACTACCCAGAAGTGATGTGGGGATCATCAATGTTCATATGGTAATATAATTGATGAAGTTGCCAATATATCTTCGTTCTCCAGAGAGGGGAGAAGATACAGCATATAGATTTTCTTTTAAAACAGAAACTCTTAGCCTGAACTTCAGAAGGGCAAGGACCTTTCTAGAGATTACTATGGCCATTTTGTTTGTTCACAAGTCCATATTTTCCTTGGAAAGCACTCATAGGTTCCCAAAGTAGGCATGACTCAACACTGTCCTGAAGGAATTGCTCTTCCTTCTCATGCATGAACATGGCCTCCAACCAGAGAAACTGCTTTGAGGTAGACAGATGTAGACAGTGAGGTAGACTCACTGCCAATTTGAAGGTGTTTTCCATATTGCTGTTTTAATGCATCCACTTCTGATTCAGAGCAATCCTGGTTATGAGCTTTGATTCTGAAACAGAAGTAATTCCGTGGCCATGGACTCAACCATATGGTGGCCTTAAATTATTATTTTCCAGGGCCATGATGCTCTTTTTAAATTTAAATATGCCCACAACTTTTAATGACTGTCACATTATTATACAAGGCCTCCTGTGTACTTCTCCAGTATTCTAACGTTACACTAGTAAAATATTTATCACATTGTTTTATAAACGTGCACATGTCTCTCTTTTCCACTAAGGTGAAAACTTCCTGAAGGCTAGGATTGTGTCTTATTCTTGTTTTTAATCCTCATAATAATTCCTAAATAATATCTGGCTTACATTAGTTATCTTTCAGGTTGAATAATTTAACTAAAATTCACAGTGTGTTAGGCATATTGCAGAGCACATTACACATGGTAACAAACTGATATTTCCTGATGAAATAGTATTATTATTCCTATTTCAAAGATAAAGAAATATACTCAGAAATATGAAATAATTTGCCCTAGATCCTATAGCACAGATGCATTTATTTGATTTCAAATAATTTAAATAGGGGCGCCTGGGTGGCTCAGTCAGTAAAACACCTCCCTTTGGCTGAGGTCATGATCTCAGAGTCCTGGGATCAAGCCCTGTGTCGGGTTCCCTGCTCAGCGGGGAGTCTGCTTCTCCCTCTCCTGCTCCCCCTGCTTGTGCTCTCTCTCTCTCAAATAAATAAATATTTTTAAATAAAATAATTTAAATAAATTTTAATAGTTTAACATAATTTGAACAGTCTCCATTTAGAAACAAGTGAAGGATTGTTAGTTTTTTATTGAGGCAAAATTATTATATAACATTAGTTTCAGATATGCAACATGATAATTTGATATTTATATACACTACAAAGTGATCACCACAATAAGTCTAGTTACCATTTTTCAGCACACAACTGACCTCCTTCACCCATTTCATCTATTCCCACCTACTTTCCCCTCTGATAACCATCCACCTATTCTCTGTATCCATGAGTTTTGTTTTATTTGTTCATTTGTTCTGGGTTTTCTAATTCCATGTATAAGTAAAATATATGGCATTTGTCTTTCCCTGACTTACTTCGCTTAGCTTAATATCCTTAAGATCTATCCATGTTGTCACAAATGGCAAGATTTCCTTCTTTTAATGGCTGAGTAGTATTCCACCATGTATATACACTACATTTTCTTTATCCATTCATCCATTGATAGGCACTTGGTTGTTTCTATATCTTGGCTATTGTAAATAATGGTGCAGTGAACACAGGAGTGCATATATCCTTTCAAATTAGTGTTTTTATTTTCATTTTTTTGGATAAATACCTAGAAATGGAATAACTGGATCATATTGTAGTTCTATTCTTGATTTTTTGAGGATCCTCCATACTGTTTTCCATGGTGACTACACTAATTTACATTCACAACAATATTTTCTCCACATCCTCTTCAACACTTGTTATTTCTTGTCTTTTTGATAATAGCCATTCTAACAGGTTTGAAAGGATATCTCCCTGTCGTTTGGATTTGCATTTACCTGATAATTAGTGATTTTGAACATCTTTTCATGTGTCTGTTGGCCATCTGTATGTCTTCTTTGGAAAAATGTCTATTTAGATCCTCTGCCCATTTTTTAATTTTTTTTTTTTTTTTGCTATTGAGTTGTTTCAGTTTTTTATATATTTTGGATAGTAACCCCTTATTTGTTTTATGACGTGCAAACATTTTCTTCCGTTCAGTAGGTTGCCTTTTCATTTTGTTGATGGTTTCCTTTGCTGTGAAGCTTTTTAGTTTAATGTAGTCCCACTTGTTAATTTTTCTTTTTGTTGCCTTCAATTTTGGAATCAAATCCAAAAATTCAATGCCAAGACCAATGCTGAAGAGTTTACCTTCTATGTTTTCTTCTAAGAGTTTTGTTGTTTCAGGCCTTACATTCATGTCTTTGATCCATTGGGGGTCAATTTTTGTGTAGGGTGTAAGACAATGTAGGGTCTAGTTTCATTGTTTTACATGTGGCTGACCAGTTTTTCCCAACACCATTTATGGAAGAGACTGCCCTTTCTCCATTGAATATTCTTGGCTCCTTTGTTGTAAATTAACTGTCCATATATGTGTGGGTTTATTGCTGGACTCTCTATTCTATTTCATTGATCAACATGTCTGTTATAACAACACCATATTGTTTTGATTATTATAGCTTTGTAGTATAGTTTGAAATCAGGGAGCATGACACCTCCAGCTTTGCTCTTCTTTCTCAAGATTACTTCAGCTACTCAGAGTCTTTGGCCCCTACAAATTTTATATCTGTTTGTTCTAGTTCTGTGAAAAACACCATTGGAATTTTAATAGGGATTGCAGTGAATCTGTAGATTTCTTTGGGTAGTATGGATATTTTAACAATATTAATTCTTCCAATCCAGGAGTATGGAATATCTTTCCATTTATTTTTGTCTTCTTCAATTCCTTTCATCAATGTTTTTGAGTTTTCAGTATACAGGTGTTTTACCTCCTTGGTTAAATTTATTCCTAGGCATTTTATTCCTTTTGATGCAATTGTACATGGGGTTGTTTTCTTAATTTCTGTAGTAGTTTGTTATTAGTATATAGAAACAATTTTACTGAATTTACTTGTTAGTTCTTCACTGAACTAATAAATAAAATTTTACTGAATTCATTTATTAGTTCTAATGATTTTTTTTGTGGAATCTTTAGGGTTTTATCTATACAGTATCATATCATCTGCAGATTGTGACAGTGTTACTTTCTTTCCAATTTAGATGTCTTTTATTTCTCTTTCTTGCCTAATTGCTGTGGCTAGGACTTCCAATACTATGTTGAATAAAAGCAGCAAGAGTGGGCATCTTTGTCATGTTCCTAATCTTAGAGGAAAAGCTTTCAGCTTTTCACTGTTTAGTTTGATGTTAAACAGTTATTGAGATTCATACTTTTATTCCCAGGAATATTTTAGGGTAGAAATCTGATTTTGTGACTGGAATTCTTAAGCATCATGGTTTATGTGAACATATATCTACTATCTGTTAATAATAAATACTATTTTTGAGTTATATTTCAGGTGTTTGGCAAAATACCTATATACATTATTTCATTGAATCCTCCAAATGGCAGTTAAGGTAAATATATTATTATCCACATACAGAAGGAATTGAGTGTGAGAGAGATTTAAAGCTAGCTCAAAGATCCACAGTAAAAAGTATATTAGGACCTAGACCTAGGTGACTAGCTGCCAAAGCCTGTGGTCCTTCCACTGTGTCTGGTTTAACTGTTCCTTTTATGTTCTACAGCTCACTTTGAATATTAATAGCATCTCTATCCTATTCAATATCCCAGATGTCCTTTATCCTGATACCACATTTAGAAGTGTGGCAAAAAAAAAAAAGAAGATTCATTTTAAGTTTATGTATTGAGTAATAAATTACATATAGAGTATTACACAAATCTTAGTACACAGATCAAAGAAT